GAACCACTTTTGTTGATTAGACCTATCTTACGATTGATTAATTTATAGTTGCTCTGATATGAAACTAAAATCGCTAATTAAATTAACCAAAATCTAATTAGTTATTGATATCGGTGGCAACAGTCATAAAGCCCTACTTTGGACGAGCAACTTTGCTACCACTGCTCAAAGCAGCTATCGCAGCAGCATTTGCGTCACGATTTCGCTTGGCTTCTGCATCCGCACGTTGCATCTCCTGTAAGTAGAAGTATTTAAGACCTATTTACGCAGTTTATTCTCCTAGTTAATATACAAGGGCTACATGCTCAGAAAATATTTGTGGTAGTAACTCAGAGTAAAATATAGTTCCATGCACGAATGTTGCAGCACGCATAACTTAGCCGGATAGCGGACTTCGAACTGTTTTAAAGTGGCATTTTCACACTATCAGGCACCGTGGTCTACTTTTTTTCATTGAGTGCGGTAGAATTAAGTTTAGAAACACGTTCTTTCGAGTAAAAAAGAAAGATAACGCGGCAATAACCAGCAAAAGATAAGAGGAATAAAAACGCTAGAAGCCTATGATAGAACACAAAACAACGGGACACGTTATTGAAAAGGGGAACACCGCACCGCCTAGAAATGCAGAGATTTTAGGTATATTGAGCATATTTTCCACAATAACATTCTTCTACGATACTAAACTCGTAGTTTTTGAGTAATTTGTGGAAGTAAAGGACGACTATGCATGAGCCATAACCCGAGCAATATTCGCATACCTTAGCTCGTTCAATAGTATCCTTTGCGATGCCTTTACTTTTACTCATTCGAATAAGAGCCTCTTTTTCACGGTTTTCCCGTTGTTCCTCTTGTTGTCTATCGATATCTTCAAGGAATCGCAACTGACGTCGTGTGTCATCAATAGGACCATAATTAGGATTTAGCCTGAAAGTAAAAGATCTCAATAAAAAGTATTGAAAAAAAANAAAAAAAATCAGGAGAACCGACCTCAAGGGTTCCATTCGATGTTCAGCCAAAATAGCAAGTTCCCCTATGATCTCACGTAAGCGGCATTCGGCCGCATCAGATATCAAGACAAGAACCTGGAAGAGTTTGGGCTTATTCGAATCCTCTAACATAGCTATCTTCTTATAGTGCAGAATTAGAGCAATAACAACATCAATCAAAGGTCCGAACCTCTTCATCCACGTAACACATCTCGTTCATACACTGAGTAATTCGGCTCATAATATCAGGCGGCCGTAAAAGCGCGCTCTCCAACGCTCCCTCTTGCAACTGGCGAACTTGTATCATCTACAAAGAGAGCACTTTCAAGTCACTAATAATTAAAACAGGTTCAAAAAATCATTTATAACCTCTTCTTCTGGATGTTGCGCAGGCGTATCGTCCATGGGCTCTACAGCAGCGGTGGAATCAGTTCTATCCATTTGAGTCACCTAAAGTTATGACTTTCCTACTTAGAGAAGAAATTGGAAAAATCAAAAACGATTTATGACCTCCGACCAGCTATGGAAATAGAATAACTGTGACCTGCTCGTTGTGTTCTTGAATAGGTACGGACACCACGTTAACAGCACCAGATGTTGGAGCATACATCATCCCCTGCGAAGTGGCTTGACGTTGCTCAGGTGGAATTTGCTGTGCGTGTTGTTGATGACCGATTGGCATTTGTTGTGATACCATAGGCATTTGTTGATGTTGAGAATGTTGATGTACAATTTGCTGAGGCTGCTGCATTCCCATTTGTGGATGCGGATGCATCTGTATCTGCTGATGTTCCATCTGAGCAGGCGCTTCATGCATCTGGTAATGTTGTTGTTGTTGCTGTTGTTGTTGTGGTTGTTGCTGTACTACTTGCACCTAAACATTGTAATGTTACATCTTACAGAAACTGCGCTTTTTTGCACCTCTTCCAACACATTACAGAAATTTTACAAAATCAAAAAGGGACCGAAGCAATACCGAATACTGGACCTCATTCAGCCCAAGCGAGCTCGTCGAGCCAGTGTGACGAGCACGAGTGAGTGTAATAAGATTGGAATTACGGAAACAGAGGGTTAGTAAGAATTGGAAAGGTTGGGAAGGAGCATGGCTTGCTTCCCTCTATTTCTGTCCATTTTCATACCAAATACATTGCAGGCAATCCAAGAACGATTATTACAATGACAATAAAAGTACAACAGTCTATACAAACGTAATTCGCATAACCGACCATATTTTGATCCACAAATTAAAGTGGAGTAAAACTAAAGTAATAAAATTCTTAGAAGGAATAAAAACAAGTTCACTTGGAAAAATGTTGGAGAGAGAGGCAGGAAAACGTGTGAGGCAATGAACGATCCTTTAGTAACCAAAAGGAGACAGTTCTAACGTGAAACGATAGACATCAACTCCGAAGGACAATTTCTTTTGTAGATATTGAAGAAAACTGCTCAATAACGTAATCAAATGGAAGCAGAGCATAGAGAGCTGCCTATATCATATCGAGCTTAAGATCTCGAACCGTTACACTGTAGCTTGATGAGCATGGAGAAAGAGAGAACGAGCCAACGGTTTGTTCATCCTTCTTATGATTAACACATATGAACAAAGAAAGAAAAAAGATGGAGAATAGTAGAAATGAAAGCATTTAACAGAGGCGAAACGGAACAATGTTACGGATTCAAAGTATTAAGGTGCTTCAATTATCACAAAAAGACTTAATTCTGAGAAAGTAATGAATTTCACGATAAGAAACAACCTTGTAGCCCTGATTAGAATACTGTCACATAGCTAAAAACAGAGTAAAGTCTGTAATTCACCTGTATCGGTTGTGAATGAATGTGCTGAGGTGCTGGTTGAGATGAAGGTTGCTGTTGAGCAGTCATAATGTGCTGTTGATGTTGCATTTGCATATGAACCTGTTGTTGAGGTGAGGCGGCTTCAATCTGTTGCGCAGGTGGCACCATCATACCAGGAGGTGGCACAACACCTTCGATCGTCACTTCACCTACAATGTAAATGGAAATGAAACTGATCGCGACTTAAATTCGATCGAAAAGGCAATAAAAAACAAGAAAAGAAGAAGAAAGGACGTCCAAGTTCCACCAGAAAGGGAGTAGCAAAGTCTATTCGCCCCTATGCTTCATGGCTATACAGTAACTGGTACAGCTACCTGATTGTATGATAGCACAGTATAGCAGGTTTTTCTATCACTTCAGGCATGAAATTCATACGATTAGGAATTTAAAAGTCAGGAGTTGCGTCATGTGCTGTAAGATCCATGAACTTATAAGGTTGAATAGAGTCAAAAACGAAGTCCCAGGAATAAAGTACAAGGTGAGCGGGTTATTGAAGATTCTGGAACGACTGCTGTTGTTCAAGTTCAAACAACTTCTCCCTTGAAGTATGAATTATGCATCATGCCGCTGCTAAGTAGCTACACCCATAACTGAACTGACACGGCTCAAACATACATTAATAGTAGTTACACCAAACAGAAACAATAAGAGAACTTACCACTCCTCATTGCAGCACGGAGGTAAGGAAGCGTTTTGTGTAGAAATGGAAGTAGATGAGGCTGTGCTTGTGATTTTAAGGCACTTTGCAGTCTGGTTGTGAACTCTTCTGCAGGCATTTGTCCGAATACCAATGTCTGAATACAACATAATTAGCAGCTTCTTGCAACTGCCTTATTTGCTAACATGACTTCCGAGCACATGTTCGCGATACACACCAGCAAAGTCTTTCCATATATGTATGCAAGCCAGCCTGAAGCGGAAAGTATCTATAAGGGCTCCCAACTGGTAATTCCCTTGATTTAACTTTCGATAATCTTAGTAACAAGGTTACAAGATTAAGATTGCGGAGATTATTTCCAGCTGCTTGGCACCCCTTCCGCCGTATTGGTGCATTCAGAGTACGTACGTTTCAAGCGTAAAATTGTATATGAATCTGTGCAAAATGGCACATCTTCTTTCGCGCAAATATTGCCGTATTCATAGTAGGTGCGTCTAACATTAACCCGCGTCAGTACCGTTTGCAAGGAATCGTTGCAGGACCAATTGATTCTGTCTGATTGGCCACGCCCTACCTCACAGTGGGTCCTGCAACGATTACCTGCGAGCGGTCAACCAGTTGAGAGCTTCTCTTTGTACTCTCCGCTTCCGGGGTGTCTTGCATACCGGAAAAACTTTGCCACTTCGTGTCGTGAATATGTTGTCGGAAGCCATGTTCCTAAAATAGACATTTTCAGATCAAAACACTTTCACGTGAATAGGCGCGTTTTAACGTGCAGAAACACGTCAGTCTGGCGACAAAACGCACCTACTTTGAACTGAATGCCCCACATCCGCCTCATGGCTATTTGCAAGCAGTAGTTACAGGACCGCTTCTCTTCGTTATAGATTGTAGCAAATCCAATAAAGGAGAGCGGTCCCGTAACGATTTTTTGCAAACAGCTTAAAAGATACTAGTGCACATGTACACCACAACCCACACGAACACCCTAGAGCAGTTTTTACACAGCTACGTATGCATAAAAATACTAGTTTGCTTGCGAACGCTTAACTCTGCGTTGAAACGCAGGAACTATGAACGCGCCCCAACCTTTCTCTCAAATAGCAATTGGAATGAGCAAATTCAGCTAGGTGTCAGCGATGCTGAAACTCCTGTCTTTTCATAAGGTATCTCACATGAGTTACGGGCCAAAACTCGATCTCCTTAGATGAGAATCCCGCCAGTAACATTGTGATGGGTACTGCTCTTCGAAGTGCAGCGGTGACAATGAGAAAAAAGGTTTATTATGAAAGTTGGTATGTCACTCTCTCAACATATAGAAAAGTTAAGCTACCAAATGGCTAAATGACACTATCATTGGGTCACACAATCCACAAGCATAAAGTAATTGGTAGAAGTAATCAGAGAACAAAACAGTTACTTACACTAACAAGTTCCTTTACAAGGTGAGCAGTTTGTTGAGGATTCTGTGACGGTTGCTGCTGTTCGGGTTGTTGCGATAGCTGTATCAGAGTCTTGAAGAAACGAACACATTTTGTTACCATTCCCTGACTATCACTAGTTGGCAGTGGCTGAGGGGTGTTAGACTGAGAAGTCTGAGGTTGGCTCATTTGCACCACAACACCGGAAGAAACAGAACCTAAAAGCACACCCATAGATAGGTTAAGGGGATCGACATCTTCCGAGTGTGAAGAACGAAATCTAAAACTCTTGACATACCAGAAGTTGTTCCTTGCATAGTCATTTGCTGTTGTTGCATTGGTTGTGGATGCTGTTGATGCTGCATGTGCATAGTTGATGTCATCATCTGAATTCCATGTTAACAGAAAACCAAGAGAATGTGCTTCGACGTTGTTGTTGTTGTTGTTGTTGTTGTTGTTGTTGTTGTTGTTGTTGTTCACAATGTTGTTCGCAACTCTTCGATGCCTTATTTTACGGGAGTTATTCTATTGGAGTTGATTCTTTTTTGTGAGGATTACGACCTGACAGCAAATATGAAAGAATTTAGCCCCAACGCGATCAGAGACAGTTTCCAGAGAATTTAAGCAATTCCGAAAATGTCTAAAAGGGCAAAACGTAAGCGTTGATCCCGGGACCTCTACAAACATCCTTCAAAAAAAACCGAAACAACGTAGACCACGACATTTCCACCACAACACTTTCCCATTTGTTTCTCCGAATACTATGTGGAAGAATTAGAGAGGAAGTTTGAGAGTGAAAGAGGTAGGAGTGAGATTAAGTAGGGCTACCCACTTGTCTTTACTGCCAATTTAAATGAATGAGCAGCTGAGATAGTAAGGAATGAAGGGTCTCAACTAGAAAGCAGCCAAAGGTGACAAGGTCTTTATTTTTAAAGCCGCTTTCTAAACTTTAGTTCAGACCCTGTAACATGCATAAACATACCGAAGCTGGCTTCATTTCTTGAGTCAATGGTGAACCGACGGATGTTCCCGGTGATGGCCGTTCACCGAGCCCTCTTCCCGCTACAATGCGGAACTTCGGCCCACCGCCCGAAGCGGGCGGATCTGACATCACCTCTGAAAACTCGTCATCTTA